TCGCACACCGCCTACACTGCTTGGATCATAGGTGTGCCGCACATCGCCTCAACGTCGACAACATTCGCAGCCCCGCCGTCACCGTCAAAGCACCACCCGCCGCAGTTCGGAGCCCTTGTCGTCGTCGTTGAAGCACCACCCACCGCGATTGCAACATGGCGTGCTGACGGTCACAGCCCCTCGCCGTCACCGGTTGTAACCTCGCCGTTAGGGCCACCACCGTTGAGTATTGGCCTATTCCTGAAGTACGCTACTCATGGGCCTTATATCTCTTAGAGTTGTACAACATAAACATAGCGGGTCCAACCAACACTAGATAACCAAACCAACTCATACATATACAATCTCATTCAAACAGGATCCAAAATATTCAAACTAGCGGTACCAAAATAAATAGTACCCCTATGAAACTACGTTTTTGTGATACTAGTCTTGGTCACGACTGTCGGGACTAAGTGTGCTGCTATGACTATCCTATGCCTATTGATCTGGCATTTCTTCATCTTGGTCAGCTCCTTCGGTCATGACATAGTTGACATCTTCGGCTTCACTTGATAAGTCTGGCTCCTGATAGATATGCTATCCATTTGCTTCGGGATCCTCCGGGTTATCCTCTATAGGGACTCTAAAGGGTTTAGAATACAAGGGATGAATACATGATGTACTTAACAAATTCATAAGTATTGTGAGGGATGAATACAATAGGTATATTACCATGATATTTATAAAAAAAAAGGTATTGGAGAATACGTTCAACACATTTTTCCCGGGGGCAAAGTTAACATGGTGTTTCTACATAAATTACACCAAAAGTTATTGATGTATGTTTGTACAACGTATGGAATTGTATTTATGCACTAATGAGAAGAGACAAAAATGATCAAATAGTTGTATTTAATTTAAACTCGACAAGAATCAAGTAGGGGGCAGTTGGCAAGTGGACTAAGATCTCAACACTAAAGTTTTGAGTTCAAATCTCGTCTTCAACAGTGAATTTTTGGGCTATAAAGCTGCAAACGTACTCTGGGTCCATGTCAATGACGCTTCTATTGTGTAGGAAAAAAAATCAAGGTTAATGCTCTATCCCAACTCTATGAACAAATTAGGATCATCAATAAATGTGTAAATTAGGTTCCACAAAATCGCAATCTCACTAAAAGGCGTACTATGCCACAAAAATCGCAATCCCATATTAGGATCACCATTAAATGCGCAAATTAGAATCCCATAAAATCGCAAGCCATCATCAACAAATTTGCCAAGGGTAATTTAGTCCTAACACATCTATAATTCCGTGCCTTCGTCACTCTACTGAAAATAATACACCTTACATAACGGAACCGAGGGAGTACAAGACAGCCAATGATTTTGTTGCTATTTTTAAATCAATATTTTCTATTTACACGAACTTTGACCCAGGAAAAAAATATGCACCGAAGACTTGATGACCTATATGTACAAACACTGCGCTAAATTTTGACCTGGAAAAAGTTATTGAAAAATATACCCTCGTAACTCCTGCATAAATAGTTTGTTAATATATGCATCGTTGACCTGATAACGTATGTACAAACATCATGGTAACATTTGATCGGGAAAAAGGTTGTTGAAACACATACCTCCGGTAATTTATGTGTAATTAAATAACATGATAATACCCCCTGCAAAAAATAACATGATAATACATACGCTGCAGACCTGATAAGCTATGTGCACACATCGCGATAACTTTTTGACTGGGGGAATTTTGTTGAAAAATATATTCTCGAAAACTAAAATGTAAAGGACGTGATAACCTAAGTACAAACACCAAAATAACTTTTTGATTGAGGAGAAAAGTTGTTAAAAACCATACCACAATAACTTCTGTGTAAATACGGTAATATAAGCACAACAAAGATGATAACCTATGTACAAACACCATGATAACTTTTAACCCGGGGGAGAAAAGTTGTTGAAAAGTATACCCTCCAGTAACTTCTACATAAAAACATACCCTTGGGTTAAATTTTATCACACCCGGGCTAAGTAATTTATCAGCTATATTTTGCATATATTACCATGCTATTGAAGTAATTTTTGACCTTTCGGTAATTATTTGAAAAACATATTCTTCCTAATGTCAGTGTAAATTGCATGGTAATATACTCACAACCGAGCTGATAACCCATTTAGTATAAACATCACTGTAACTTTTGACCCGAGGGAAAAACTTGTTGAAAAACATATCCCTAGTAACTTATGTCTAAATAGTATGGTAAGACACGCACAATAGAGCCGATAACTCAAATACAAACACTGCGGCAACTTTCACCCAAGAAAAATATATTAAAAACATAAGCCGATAACTCTATGTAAGAAGCATGGTAATATACAAACAACAGAGCAGATGACTCATGAACAAAACACCGAGGTAACTTTTGATCCGAGGGAAAAAAATCGTTGCAAAAAAAATACTCTCGGTAACTTATGTTGGAAATATGCCCTAGAGGCAATAATAAAAGCATTATTATTATATTTCCTTGTTCATGATAATTGTCTTTTATTCATGCTATAATTGTATTATCCGGAAATCGTAATACATGTGTGAATACATAGACCACAATACGTCCCTGGTGAGCCTCTAGTTGACTAGCTCGTTGGTCAACAGATAGTCATGGTTTCCTGACTATGGACATTGGATGTCATTGACAACGGGATCACATCATTAGGAGAATGATATGATGGACAAGACCCAATCCTAAGCATAGCACAAGATCGTGTAGTTCGTTTTGCTAGAGTTTTTTCAACGTCAAGTATCTCTTCCTTAGACCATGCGATCGTGTAACTCCCGGATACCGTAGGAGTGCTTTGGGTGTACCAAACGTCACAACGTAACTGGGTGACTATAAAGGTACACTACAGGTATCTCCGAAAGTGTCTGTTGGGTTGACACGGATCGAGACTGGGATTTGTCACTCCGTATGACGGAGAGGTATCTCTGGGCCCACTCGGTAATGCATCATCATAATGAGCTCAAAGTGACCAAGTGCTTGGTCACGGGATCATGCATTACGGTACGAGTAAAGTGACTTGCCGGTAACGAGACTGAACGAGGTATTGGGATACCGACGATCGAGTCTCGGGCATGTAACGTACCGATTGACAAAGGGAATAGTATACGGGGTTGCTTCAATCCTCGACATCGTGGTTCATCCGATGACATCATCGAGGAGCATGTGGGAGCCAACATGGGTATCCACATCCCGCTGTTGGTTATTGACCTGAGAGCCGTCTCGGTCATGTCTGCGTGTCTCCCGAACCCGTAGGGTCTACACACTTAAGGTTCGGTGACGCTAGGGTTATTAGGAAGACTTGTATGTGATTACCGAATGTTGTTCGGAGTCCCGGATGAGATCCCGGACGTCACGAGGAGTTCCGGAAGGGTCTAGAGGTAAAGATTTATATATGGGAAGTTGTCAAATGGACACCGGAAAGTTTCGGGGGCATATCGGTATTGTACCAGGGCCACCGGAAGGGTTCCGGGGGTCCACCGGGAGGGGCCACCCCTCCCGGGGGGCCACATGGGCTGCATGGGGCAGGAGCCAGCCCCTGGAGGGCTGGGCACCCCCCCCCCTTGGGCCCATGCGCCTAGGGTTGGGGGGGAACCCTAGAGGGGGCGCCCCCTTTGCTTGGGGGGCAAGTCCCCCCTCCCTGGCCGCCGCCCCCCTCTAGATCCCATCTAGAGGGGCTGGCCCCCCTTGCCCCTTCCCCTATAAATAGAGGGGTGAGGGGAGGGCTGCACACCCAAGCCAAGGCGCAGCCCCTCCCCTCCCCAACACCTCTCCTTCTCCGTCACGAGCTTGGCGAAGCCCTGTCGGAGTGCTGCTTCTCCACCAACACCACGCCGTTGTGCTGCCGGTGGAGCTATCTTCCTCAACCTCTCCTTCCTCCTTGCTGGATCAATACGAAGGAGACGTCGCCCGTACCGTACGTGTGTTGAACGCGGAGGTGCTGTCTGTTCAGCACTTGGTCATCGTTGATCTGAATCACGTCGAGTACGACTCCATCATCACCGCTCCCTCGAACGCTTCCGTACGCGATCTACAAGTGGTATGTAGATGCAAACTCACTCCCTTGACTCATTGCTTGGATGAACTCATAGATGGATCTTGGTGAAACCGTAGGAAAAATTTTAATTTTCTGCAACGTTCCCCAACAGTGGCATCATGAGCTAGGTC